GCGGCCGCGTCTTCCAGCTGCACGTGGCGCGCGCGTTCCCGTGCGCGCTGCCGCTGGGCGGCGACGCCTGGCTCTCGCTCGAGGCCCAGCATGGGCAGCTGCTCAACTTCTACCCCTTGGATCACCACGGGCTGTCCCCTGGCTTCGACGTGCCCGGCCTGAACACGTATCAGGTCCTGAGGCTGCAGCGCAAGCCCGTCTTTAAGACCCAGTGAGCCGAGCGGGGGGCTGGAGACGTCCCCCCGCCCCCCACTTCAGCCTTCCAAGTGGAGGCTGGGGAGGGGAGGCCGCAGGGACAGAGCCCAAGCCCTCAGTTGGAGCGGGGGCTACAGCGATCGGTTCTGGTTCACAGGGACGGGGCGGGGTGGCAGGTGAGGGGACGTTTAGAGTAACGTCTTCCTCTGGTCCTTCTTTCTTTTGTTCTCTCATTCATGCTCTTGTCTTTCTTCTTTCATTCTTTTGTTCCTTCTTTTCTTCTCTCCTTTCTTTCATGTGTGTTATTGGGGTTTGAACGCAGAGCCTCTCGCTTTACCACTTGTGTCATGCCTCCGGCTTTGTTTCCGCTGATTAATGAAATGTAGAGTCAGATGGATTTCCCCCCACGGTTCTCCAGATCTTAGCTTCCTAAGTGGCTAGGATTACAAGTTGGAGCCACCTGTGCCAGAAGGTTTTAATTTCTTGAAACTGAGCATTGCTCCCAGCCTAGGTTGCCTCGGAACTCACTGTGTTGTCCAGGTTGGCCTCAGTTCCTGAGTGTTGGGAGTTGAGGTGTGTGCCACTATGACTGGCTTGATTATAGTATGTTTATAGCATGTTTATATCTGTTGAATCTATGACAAGATGAGGCTATAGCTTTATGTCTCTGTGTGTGTTTATTGTAAAAATACAGTACAGAGGGGTTACAGTTACAGGAGTAAGGTAATGAGTACATTTCCTATTGAGCCTTGTTTTTCCCCTACCATCCCTTCCCTCCCCACCTCCCCAACTCTTCTTCTTCCCCCCCCCCCCCCGCTTTTTTTAAAGTCATTCTTATTGCAGGGTGCAGGTCTATAAAAGGCTGAGATCTGAGGATTTCAATTCAAAGCCAGAAAAGTTCAGTGAGACTCTTATTTCCAGTTAACACCAGAGAGCTGTAGCTAAAGTGGTACAGTGCCAGTCCTGAATGACAAAGCTAAAGGACAAGCTGGGCACTGGTGGCTCATGCCTGTAATCCTAGCTCCTCAGGAGGCTGAGAGCTTCAGATAGAGGTTCAAAGCCAACCTGGTCAGGAAAGTCCATGAGATTCTTTTTTTTAAATTTTTTTATTTTGTGGGTCATGGGGCTTGAATTTTGGGCTTGGTCACTGCCCTTGAGGTCTTCAGCTCAAGGCAAGTGCTCTACCACTTGAGCCACAGCGCACTTCCGGTTTTCTGGTGGGTAACTGGAGATAAGAGTCTCACAGACTTTCCTGCCTGGGCTGGCTTTGAATTGCAATCCTCATATCTCAGCCTCCTGAGTAGCCAGGATTACAGGCATGAGCCACTGTGCCTGGCTCCATGAGACTCCATCCAATTAACCACCAGAAAAACAGAAGTGGAGCTGTGTCTCAAACTGGTAGAGCACTAGCCTTGAGCACAAAAGCTCAGGGACAGGGCACCAAGGCCCAGAGTTCAAACTCCAGTACTGGCACACACACACACACACACCAACCATCCTTACTGAGTTATACTTACTAAAAATGAAATACATTGTCAGAGTACAATTATGTGATGATGGCGATGGTGATCATGGTGCTGATGGTTATGGTTTTGGGGGTTTCATGCATACTAAGGCAAATGCTCTACCACTGAGCATGGATGATTTTTGACAGATAACTTACATTCACCACCACAATCAAGATATAGGAAATTTCCATCATCTTCAAGTGCCCACCTATTCTTGTGCAGTCGGTCAGTTCCCTCCCTCTCCCTGAACCCCAGGCGAGCACTGTTTTGCTTTCTGCCAGTCTAAATTAGTTTCGCCTGTTCCAGGATTTTGTGTAAATGAAGTCATACAGTGTATAGTCCTTGTGCCTGTCTTACGCGCAGCATGCTGTTTTTGAGATTCTTTTCTCTGTGTGTATGGACAGTTTGTTCCCTTGTGTTCCACTGTATAGATATGCCATGACTTGTTTATCCCTTTACCTGTTGATGGACATTTGAGCTGTTTCTAGATTGGGACCATTATGAAAAGGTTTTCTTGGACAAGTCTTTCTGTGAATGCGTGCTTTCATTTCTCTTGGGTTGATGTCTAGGTGTGATTGCCATGGAGTTTTCCGAAGTATTATTAATCTGGATGTCCCTGAGATCTGCCTGAACAACAGTTCTGTTGTTCATGCTTGTGGCTGTCAGTTGACATGGTCAATCTTTTCAATTCTAACTATGTTAATGGTTGTGGAGTCTTCTCTCATTATGTTTTTTTTTTAATATTGTATTTATTGAATTGCAAAAGCTCTTTATATGTTCTGGATACAAGTCCTTGTCAGATATATTGCAAATATTTTCCCCCAGTGTTTAGCTTCACTTTTTTTTTTCATTTTCTTAATGGTGTCTTTTGAAGAGCAAAGTTTTAACATTTTGATTAAGTTTATGACAATTTAATATAAAATGTGGGCTGTACTTCGTCTTTTGAAAGTTTAACATGCAAGTGTGCCAAGTGACCAGTGTACTCTGTACCCAGTTTCTTCTAATGGATATCGCTTGCAGAGCTACAGCAAGCAAAATATTGATATACAGAACATGCTTCTGCACAAAAATTCCCTCGGTCCTCTTCCCAGACACATCCACTTGCTTACCAAAGCCATCTTCTTCTCAACCCTGGGAAAACATAAATCTGCTCTGCATTTCCAATATTTTGTCATTTTGAGAATATTCTTAGGCTGGGAATGTGGCTTAGTGGTAGAGTGCTTGTCTAGCATGCATGAGCCCCTGGGTTCGATTCCTCAGTACCACATACACAGAAAAGGCCAGAAGTGGCACTGTGGCTCAACTGGTAGAGTGCTAGCCTTGAGCAAAAGAAGCTCAGGGGCAATGCCCAGGCCCTGAGTTCAAGCCCCTGGAGTAGAAAAAAAAAATTCCTCTCTGGGCATCTGTGGTTCACACTTGTAATCCTGGCTACTCAGAACGCTGTTCAAAGACAGCACAGGCAGCAAAGTCTATAAGATTCTCTCCAACTAATCACCACAAAGCTGGAAGGGGAGCTTCTTGTGATTAACTAGTAGAGTGTCAGCCTTGAATAAAAAAGTTAAGGAGAAGGGCTGGGAAGGTGGCTCAGTGGCAGAGTGCTTGCCTTGAATGCATGAAGTCCTCGGTTCGATTTCTCAGCACCACATAAGCAGAAAAAGCTGGAAGTGGTGCTGTGGCTTAAGTGGTAGAGCTCTTGCCTTGAACTGAAGAGGTCAGGGACAGCTCCCAGGCCCAGAATTCAAGCCCCACAACCGACAAAACACACACACACACACACACACACACACACACACACACACACACACAAAGGGACAGTACCTGGGCCCTGAGTTCAAGCCCTGCTCCCAGTGCACACGTACACACACACACAAATACAAATTCTATAAACAGAGTCAGTTATTGCCCAACCCTCCCTTGCAATTTTCTGGAGTCGTATAAAGTTGTTACAAATATTAATAGTTTGATTCTTTTTGTAACAAAGTAGCAAGTGGTTCCCTGGATGGATTTAACACAATTTGTGTAACCATTCATGTGTTGACGGGCATCTGGATTGGTTGTAATTTGGGGCTCTTATAATTAAAGTTGTTATGAACATTTGTTTGCTGGATTTATGTGAACTGGTTTAGATTTCTCTGGGATAAATGCCCAGGAGTGCAACTGAGGAGTCAAATGGTAGTTATACACTGAGTTTTCCAAGAAACTTCACAGCTGTGTTCCCAATGGCTGCACCATTTTATTTCCCAGCTAGCAAGGTATGAAGGACCTATTTTTTTGTACACCTTTTGCCGTCCTTTGGTATTGTAACTTTTTTTTTACTTCAGCAAGTTTAATAGATGTGTCCTTTTAATTGTATTTTACTAATAGCTAATGATGTTGACAATTTTATTTACCCCATCTGTATATCCTTTTCTGGGAAATCTCTATGTTATTTGCCTATCTTCCAATTGGATTCTTTTTTTCTTTCTCTTTTTTTTTTTTTGGTCGGTCATGGGCCTGAACTCTAGGCCTGGGCACTATCCCTCAGCTCCTCAGCTCAAGGCTAGCGCTCTACTACTTGAGCCACAGGGCTACTTCCCGCTTTTTCTTCTTATGTGGTGCTGAGAAATCGAACCCAGGGCTTCATGCATGCAAGGCAAGAACTCTACCATTGAGCCACCTGCCAAGCCCCCCAGTTGGATTCTTAAAAAAAAAAGTTGGGCCGGGCGCCAGTGGCTCACGCCTGTAATCCTAGCTATGCAGGAGGTTGAGATCTGAGGATCAAGGTTCAAAGCCAACCTGGGCAGGAAAGTCCGTGAATCTCTTATCTCAAATTATCCACCAGAAAACTGGAAGTGGCACTATGGCTCAAATGGTAGAGTGCTTGCCTTGAGCTAAAGAGCTGAGGGATAATACCCGGGCCCAGAGTTCAAGCCCCATGACAAAAAAAAAGAAAAGTTGGGTTTTGAAGGTTGTTTATGCCAAGTGCCAGTGCCTCATGTCTGTAATCCTAGCTACTCAGGAGGCTGAGATCCTCAGATTGCAGTTGGAAGCCAGGCCAGGCAGGAAAGCTATGAGACTTATCTCCAATCCCCAGAAAAACTAGAAAGCTGAAAGTGGCTTTTTGGCTCAAAGTGATAGAACGCTAGCCTTGACCAAAAAACTCAGGGATAGAACCTAGGCCCTGAGTTTAAGCCCCATGATGATGATGATCGTCATCATCAACAACAACAAAAGGTTCTATTTCATAGCTTATCTAATCCTTTTAACATCTTTTTTTTTCTATTAATAAGTTTTTTATTGTGAAAATACCATACAGAGGGGTTACAATTACATGAGCAAGGTAATGAGTACATTTCTTATCAAGCATTGTTTGTCTTTGTTTTTTGTCGGTCATGGGGCCTGAACTCTGGGCCTGGGCACTGTCCCTCAGCTCTTCAGCTCAAGGCTAGTACTCTACCACATGAGCACAGCACCACTTTCAGCTTTATTTTTTCTGCTTATGTGGTGCTGAGGAATCGAACCCAGGGCCTCGT